TGGGTACTCATTTTACCGACCTCGGAAGGATGGAAGGCTGAGTCAACCTTGAGCCGGCTACCTGGGATTTGAACCCCAGGTCGTGAGCACAGTTTTAGCTGCAGTACAGCGTTTTAACCACTGTGCCACGAGGAAGCTGCAGCCCTTTGAAGTATCTAACGGCTGTATTGTTCAGAGATTTTTATGATCAAAACCAACACCTTGAACTATACTCTGGGTGCCCCAGATCACACTGCAAGACAAGACGGTTCCTCTCTCTGCGTATAAGGAAATCACAGCTCACAAACGCCAGCCCTGCTTTGAGCTTGACCTCCTGACATCCTATCTTTAAAACTAAAAGATCTGTATTTCTGGATCTGTGCCTGAAAGCATTAAAACCTCCGACGTTTACACTGATCTTGTCTTGCTGGTATCTTTGTGGCTTGGATGTCTGGTGGGTGTTTGAAAAGTCTAGCTACCAGGTAGCCGGCCAGAGAGGCCTTTGGAAAGAGTTCCTCTCATCCTCTTTCTTCGCCCCTCTCCTACCCCACATCCTCCCGACTTTTTGCCCCGCTTCTGGTTACAGAGCACTTGTTTCGGCACGTGGTGGTTATCTCCCAATGTGTAAATCCAATTGATTCTGAATGAAAAGAAGCAGGTAAATATTGTTACTGTGTGTGGGTGGACCAAAAAGCGTTCAGCCCGTGGAACGGGGAAACGGCTCAGAGGGATCAGCCAAGTGAGCGTTAACTTCAGGTGGCTGCCAATTTTAATTTTCGTTCTTTTTTCCAGATTGACAGTTTGCTTTGTCCTGACTTACCTCTCACGTGCTCCCTTTCTCTTCCCCCTTCCCTCTCTTTTAAATTGTTTGTGGGAGAAGAGGAGGGTACAAAGTCTAACTTAGCTCTCTGCTCATACATTAGCGTGATACTAGCGAGACGAGAGCCGTGCAGACCTCGAAGGCTTTCAGGCAAAGGTACAGTACGTGGGAGGATGGGGGAGAAAACCTACGAAGCATCCTTGACTGTATGAAATTTCCTTCATGTTTTCGTTGGCCTGTCGTGGATGCTGAGTTAACCCGCCTTGTTTGTCCAACAAACTGGGAGAAGGCAATCATGCCGAGCTGGAGAAACACAACAAAATCCAAGATTAACAATTAGACAATAACTTTATTAAGACTGACTATAAATTCACAAATGAGCAAGCTTTTGCGTTCGGCAGGACTCTGGTGATAGTAAATGAATAAAGTCGGGGAGATGGTCTAAAAGTCTGACTGTTAATCCAAAGAGACCTGCAGTTAAGCTGATCGCCAACGTGGAGAGTAGAGACAGGTATCCTATGGGGAGACGGAAATATGGAGATTGATGAACACACCCAAATAAGGACCACTTGCACATCAGCCTACTTGTGTATGTTGTTTGGTTTGGGTTTCAGCCTGTTACTGTATTTTTCAGATAAGGGCATCTTCTTAAACTCACCCTTGCATGATAGATACTGTACTTCTGTTTTGAGTCTATAAATAAATAACTGAATCTGGCTCTGGGTTAGAGAGAATCTAAGGGATCCAAGTTCACCCACTGCTTTATGTGAGAGCAGGATACCACCTCCTCACACAGGAGCTTCAGAAGGTTTAATTTGATTGATCCTGGAAGTTCCATGGAGAAATAGATCCGTTCTCCTCCATCTTCATGACTTCTCCAACCAACCCGGTATATTACGATTGTTCCTAACTTCTTGTGACTTTCAGGAGGAAGTAAGCTTCCTAAATTAATCCATTTTTAGGACCTACCCTGACAAGGGAAAGGAAGGTGGATACCTGTAGGGCAGTAGATCACAGGTACAAGAACTAGTGAACCTTTGGCAATGACTGTTCCCTGGCGTTGCCTCCGGAACCTGCAGGATTTGGCACGCTTAAGGAAAGAACTTCCGAGCACCTGAGCTGAACAATGCCGTCCCCTTCGGCCGTGCCATGTGTAAACAGCGTGGAATCAAGTGGTGTCATTGTGCTTTGTTTGTCTCAGCGTACAAAAAACGACGCAGGTGAGATAAGAACGGATGTCCTGTCTTGCTGGATCGAAACCAGAAGTCCATCAAGACCCTCTGTTCTTGGTCCAAAAATAACAAACTAGATACCACCGGGAGTTTGCCAGAAGACACGAGAATGAGGGTCCTTCTTCGCCGTTCATTTCCAGAATCTGATCTGCAAAGCTCGCTTGCATCTAGGTGTGAAAGGTCTATTTAGCTGTCTCAGTTAATAGCTGTTGACAGGCTGTATTCTCCAGAAATGCATTTGCAAAAAAAAAACACCACCAACAACGTTCTGCCAGCTGGTTTCAAGCGGACTGAGGCCACATGGGAGTCGTGCTTCAACCCATCTGGAGGGCCCAGGGTTGAAGGGGATGGCTGTGTGCAGTTGGCTTTTACAATAGCTCATGGTGTCAAATTCCATAAGGTTGCAATGTATTCGTTTCCCCAGTACGTTCTTCTGTTAGATTAGATTTTATGTTGACATAAAATATGTCGGTGTTGAAACCACAAAACAGCATAGCAGGTGTGGGGTAGTTAGATAGGCACATCAGTGCAGTATAGATTTGTGTGTGTGTGTGTGTGTGTGTTTTGTGCTGTCAAGTTGGAACCAACTTACAGGGACCCTAATAGGGCTTTGTAAAGAAGAGTTTTAACACTTCCACTCCCCCAGTGCGTTTCCGTGGCCAAGTTGGGGATTCAAACCCTGTTCTCCAGAGTCCTAGTCAGGACTCTGAAGAACCACACTGGGAATCCATGTAACACCATCTTACTTTGTAGGACCAACAGAAACAGTGAGTTGCCCCCATTTTGTGCCATTCTTAAAATTCGTTGAATTATTAACATGCCTCAAAATCTCTTCTGTGTTTCCTCTCTCTGCTTCTCCAGCTGGCTGTGGTGCGATATGCTTGTATGTCCACGTATCAGCCAGTCTAGAAGTCTTAGCTGCTCCAGCCTGGCCTTCTACCATTTTGCTTCGAGGCATTCGGCCATTTTGTGGGAGCAAGACAGGGTTTTGCAGCAGGCGTTCAGATCGTTTGGGCTCCTGCTCAAATTTTTGATAGGTGTGGACTGTTCTGGGAAGGTCTAGTTCATCATCCAGGCAGGTTCTTGGCCGAGGACCAATGCAAGCCTTCGTTTGTATTAGATGAAGTGCATCGGGTAACTTAACTTAACAACGACAGCTAAAGGTAAATGTACATGTGCGTCCCATTGTACCATTAGCACTGGAGATCTTTCATGTGAGGATTTCATGTCCGTAAATGGAAACAGATTTTGGGGATCTGCCGGGCCTTGAAGTTAGCCAGGTTTCCTGTAAGTTGTGATGGGGCTTTGAAAATGTTCGCATACTCCTTGAGTCAATCTGAAATGTAGCTGGCTCGCCACTCACCCTTCCATTCCACTCTCTTAAGAGAGAGATGGTTTTTAATGCCGTCTTAAAAACTCTCCCATAAAAGGCTTCCATGAGAAATTGCAGTCCACAACCCTAAGCTCTCCAAATTCTTCATTGATGGGAAGGAGGA